GATTGTGCATGTTTGTATCTTCTCTTGTTCTGGAAGAGGAGGATGAGAAGAGAGAGATATGTTTTTTCTTTCTTTTGTTTTTTTGTTTTGTTTTTCTTGGGTTGCTCTCGCTGAAAGAGAAAATTTTTTTGTTTTTTCTTTTTTTGGAAAATAAAGCTCACATTAACGCAAATTTCATGCTTCGTTGATTCATGTAAACATGTTTACGTAGAGAAAAGAATCATGTAATTTCGCCAACGATATATACGAAGCAAAAGCGATTGCAAACATACAAAACAAACTTGCACACTCCAATATCACTGAATACGTGAGTTCGCTTAACTTCCAACATTATTGCACTACGAATAAAATTACAGCCGACGAAAATTGAAAGTACACCCTTTGATTTTTGTTCCTTTTTATGTTATGTAAAACTCATAACTTAACAGAATATGCATGAGGGTTTAGTGTAGAACATGTGCTGGTAGATCGAGAATACATAGAAAGCTGATAGTTGTATTTTAGTTAAATTTAATTAAATGCACGTTTCTATTACAAAACACCTTTTTTCATCTGCAACTTGTTTTTAGTATCACTTATAATCAGTGCTATGTATCATCCATATCATACTACAGCAAAAACTGATATTAGTAATTAACCTACGATGCAAAAGTATCCGTACAAATGTCTGCGGCTATTGCGTAGCCAGGTTGAATCATAGAAATAGGATTAACATGTCTTCTGATAGAGTAAATGAGCTCTTTGGAATGATTTATGAGTTATTCCTCGTATAAGTAAAAATAAGACTGACGCAGGAAAAACATGAAGAGCTTCTAAAATGAATTGTTACCGGATGTACCAAAAGTTTTGTGACATTTTTTGTTTCCCGCATATATCTCGGCAGGAGAAAACGATAAAATCTTGATTTCTTTTTTAAAGATGCGCCATGAAAAGCTCTATAAGTACTGAATACAGAAATCTTTGTTAACTGGTTCTCATGTTACTATCCGTACTCAATATGAACAACCTACATGGTAGTGAAATGTCTCAGCGTGTTGACCATGATAAAAATGTTTGCAGGGCCCTTTTTGTTTTGCAATAGAGATTTGTTCATATAGTCTATGTAGAGCTTTTCATGGCGCATCTTTCAAAAAAATGACGATGTTATCATTCTATCAAGCTAAGATATATGCAAAAGAAAAAAGCCTTCCAAATATTTTTGTTATGTTGGGACATTTCACTACCATGAAGGTTGTTCATATTGAGCATGGGAAACACCATGAGAACCAGTTAATAGAGATTTCTCTAAACAGTATCTGTAGAGCTTTTCGCGGCGCATCTTTTAATAAAATCAAGATTTTGTCATTTTCTAAAGCTGAGATATATGCGAAATGAAAACTGTTGCAAAAGCTTTGGTACAACCGGCAACAATTCATTTTAGAACTCCTTCATGCTTTTCCACCGTCAGTCTTATTTTTACTAATGAATGAATAAGTCATACATGATTCAAGAGAGCTCATTTCACTCTATCAGAAAATATAATAATCCGATTTCTATGATTCACCCTAGCTGCGCAATGATCTCACACATTTGTACCCATACTTTTGCATCGTAGGTTATTGTTATTGTTTTGCACTAAACTCTGGACAAGATGCGTATAAAGAACAATATTAAATATCATCAATGTTACGGATTATCGAGATACAGAAATATAAACAATGTACCATAATAATTGGCGATACATTGTGTGTGGAATATGGGTGACGGTTGGGGTGCGATGGTGGGTAGGATGGGTGTGGGTAGGCGTAAGTGACTGGTTGCGGGTGTGGGTGCCAATGTTCGTTTTCATCTTCCTGTCTCTCACACGCGCACCCACACCCACACCTTTACACGTACACCCACATCCTATTCTATAGAACTGAAAGTCGAGTCTCTCTACTTAAGGCCATTCAAAGGTTATTCAAAAAGTATTCCAGTTCATAGATTTTTGGCACCGATACGAGATTTGTGTTTTGTTTTACTTAGACTTTATGTCAAATTATACATGAGACATATATCCAATAAGTACAATAATGGATTCAGAAACGACGGAAGATATAACCGTATTACAAATCGCAGCAGATTGTGTGCAAAGTTCAACTTGCCGGACAAAGAACATTGATAAAAAAAATTTAGAAAGCTTTCAACTTGTTTGGGTTGATGCCAATATCAATAATACAGACGATAATATACAAACAATATCTCTACTACGTGGTATTATAAATTATCTGAACACATTTGACAACGTAATTGACTGTTATGACTACATAGCCGAAGTTCAAGATGAAAAAGTATTCTTAATTGTATCAGGTGGAATTAGTCAGCAAATAATACCTTATATTTACCAAATGCCACAAATTCAATATGTTTATCTATACTGTTTTGACGTTGACAAACATAAACATTGGGCAATAGAGTATGAAATAGTGCGTGGCGTTTATACTAATATGAACGATATTTGCCAGCAATTGAGCACAGACGTTATTATAAGTTCCCATCAATTTCTATCAATGACTATTATTTCCGCGCACATAAAGGAAAAAGATATAAATAAACAAGAAGCTTCATTTATGTACTTTGAATTATTAACTGAAATTCTGATTGGAATGCAACCAGCAGATGATGCAAAAACAAATATGGTTAACTACTGTCGATTGCAGTATGATGGTAATGAAATCGATTTGAAGCATATCGATGAATTTAGTAGAACTTATACTCCAAATAAAGCCATATGGTGATACACAAAACATTGCTTTATTTATGAAATATTGAATAAAGCCCTTCGAACCCAAGATATTGATATTCTCTTTACTTATCACTTTTTCCTGTCTCTCACACGCGCACCCACACCCACACCTTTACACGTACACCCACATCCTATTCTATAGAACTGAAAGTCGAGTCTCTCTACTTAAGG